TACTATGGGACAATATCCTAGTGGTATGCAATTAATCTCATCTTGGAAAAAGAGTCACACCATTAAGTATTTTTACTTACAATGTATTGCTTTATTACATGAAATAAATAAAAAATGTTGTAATGATTGAAAAATTAAAACATTTGATTTCCAGTTTTACTAAACACTGTTTTCTTTATTAAGCTTAAACCAATTAAGCCAATAATAATTAACCTCTGATTATTTAAGCAGGTCTTAGGAATTGTGCATATTGTATTAATATCTAACCAAGTTGGACTCATGGGATATAATCAGAACATACCATTATACTTTTAGCTCTAATGCCCTTAAACATATTCTGTGAGGGTAGTTTATCTTCCATCTTTGCCAAAAACTGGGTCAGGCCTCACAGTTTCATCAGCACTTGTTGAGTGCACAGCCCTAAACTGACTTCACACACTCTGCATCCAGCAGATATTTACCACCGACTTTCTCTGATGGGGTGAATTTCAGGTTCTTTAGAGATGCCCAGCATTAGAGTGGACTCTAACATTCAGTTCCTTGACCCAGGCAAATTCACTCCAGTGCTTACTCTTTACTCAGCCTCTATTAATTTGGCAGTCACTTCCAGCTTATCTTCAGTGCCCTCCAGATCACCCTACTGGGTAGCTTTAGGAAGACCCTGATTCAAGCTCCCTTGAACCTGTGACCCACTCCAGTCTGGGATAACATTTCCTTAGCCTTTGGCTTCACAACCCATAGGAGTGTAGTCTGAGCCCAGTGTCCCCCTCAGCTCATTTGCCAAAAGATATACAAATCACGATTTCTGAATCCCCCCTCTTTTGGCTTAAAATGAAAGAGAACATGCCCCACAGGAATAGAAATAGTCAGCATTTTTTTTTAAATCCACTTTAAACTTTGTACAGCGTCTCTTTCATGACTAACAATGCTATCTGATATATTGGTGTCTCAGTTACAACCTCAAATTTAACATCTACTTATATCTAAAAACTAGTGAAAAATAAGTACTACGTCTTAGTAAAAGCTTTGGAGAGTTGCATTAGTGATAACAACCCAATTTTAATCAACTAAAGCAGAGAGGAGAGAATGTCAGAAGTATAGGGATAAACTCTGGTTATAGGGAACAGTCATGCGTGGTTCTCAGGAGATCTGTGAAGTCCTATCAACTCCATCCCATCTGTGCAGGACTCTTGGACTGTGTAAGTGACCTGCCTCAGAGCCTTTAATGGGGAATTAGGGAGCACAGGTAGCTGACCCCCTAAGTAGAAATTCATTTTACTTCTAATTCTTTGTCCACTATTTCCTATAAAGAAGTCTCCTTTTTTTAGAAAAAATTATTTGTATAATTACTAAATTTGATTGGCCATTGTGGGTGGGTTAGGGAAGACTGGCTCAGAGGTCACTTAAAACAACTTTTAGCCTCATTAAACTTAATATTTAAGGAGAATCACTTTCTCACTTGAAGTATTCAGGTAATTTGAATTCTCTGTTTCCCACTACTAGTATGAAACTATCTTGAGCCAACTAGCAAGAAAGAAATCTGTAATGGAAATACATCCAATCTTAATAAGATATGGATAATTAGCTTACAGGATTGAGCCAATATACTTCCCCCAAACTAATTTTTGCATTCAACCACAACTCATAAGATTTTCTTGTGATCACATTTCCTTGTTTTTAAAAGTCTAACAATATTCTCCAAGCTGCACAGTTTATAAATCAAGAGGCTCAGCTAATGTTTTATCTTGTTTCTTTGGTGGAAAAGACTATCATGGGGACACATAAGGGTATAAAATTTTTCTTCCAAAGTAAAAGTCGTATAATATTGTACTAGAAAGCTAAAATGCCACATGCATACATGTCATATTACACCAAACTCCAAATGTGCTTAAAAAGTTTTTCACTTTCATCTAGAATGGCTAAGAAAACAAACAGAATCGTTTTGTACAAAAATAATTCAGTCCCCAATAATTTTTCTTTCTTCTTGTCACTTTAAAGGAATTAAAGAAAGGAAAAATCTAATCATATAATCTAATGCAAAAGATTATAGGACTTATCAAAAATGCCCTTTTCATTTATTAGCAGACTTACAGAGAAAATGATTGGCCATTTTTTTATCACCTAGCCAGACCCTGAACTTTTAAAATGTGGTTAATTCCAGTCATCTTAAAGGTTCAAATTAAAAAACAACAACTACAACAACCTGTTTTCAGGCAAATTTAAACATTCACCCCTCCAAAAGAAATTAATGTTCTATTATACTCAGAAATCAATAAGCAATCCAAACTTGCCCTAGTGTGAATCACATACAAATTACCTTTGAAGTATTTATAAAACAATAATTTCATTGAGGTTGCAGTACCCAACTCCACTTTTCTTCACTATTGTCAAAACTGTATCATAAATGTATTAAAACTTTTGTAGTAGCTTTTTTTTAAATCACCCTCTGCATAATGGAAAAAGTAATGAGAGCGAGCTCAAGTTTCAAAAGAAAAATCTTGTAGAGAAAGGATTAGGAAGGAGGATGAGAGACACCCATGCAAGCTAGAAAAATCAAAGGACAGGAAAAGAATTTTTAAATTTTTATTAATGTTCTTACAAAGCTTACAGCTGAATGAAGTTAAGCATTCAGCATTTCAATTGCTTCTTTTTTAGCAGTAAGAAGAATGTAGAAAACAGTTGCACATTTACCTTAACCTGCTGTCAGCCTACTGAGAGCAGTCCTCAGAAGTCCTCCTCAAATATCATCCAGCTTCATTTCTCTGACCCCAACACTCACATCAATATTCCAAAAAGGCTGTAAATCTAAACTTTTAAACTCTTACCACTTTTAAGTTTCATAGTAATCTTTCTCAAATGTTAAAGCGCTTAAAACTCATCATGCAAAATTTTTAAAATCACAGAGTCTAGCATAGGGATCATCACCACAACCATCACCAAAGATTCTTAATCAATACATGTACATTTTAAGAAATGTGTAACTTGTTCAAAGTTTGAACTACACTAGAGAAACACTGATCTAATTTGAGGATTCATATTCAAATCATTGCGAAGCTGTTATAGCAATTATAATCAACTTTAACCTGTGAAACCTTGAAGGATTTGATACAAGAATCAAAATAAATGCCCAAATAGGTAGCTAGATGATGGCGGGAGGGAGGGAGGGAGGGAGGAAGGAAGGAAGGAAGGAAGGAAGGAAGGAAGGAAGGAAGGAGATAAATAGGTACATCCAGTAGGAAGTGGGAAAAGGAAACGAGGAAGGAAGTAGAGATGAAATTGAGTTTCTTTTTTTAACATAAAGTAGCTAAGATTAAGTCTGCATAATGCAAACAACAATTTTAATTAATTTTTACATGAAATTCATTGGTTGTTTAGTAATATGTAGACTCTGCCTTTGACTACTTTGGAACCAGGACATAGTACTTTGGGTTCTATCTCCTTTTTATTCTCCCTCCATCTTTATTTTTTTCACCCATAACCAGATTACCTCTCTCTGCTCAGCCTTCTTCTTATATGGTTTCTTTCACTCTTTTATCCTTTCATCTTGGTCACATTATAAATTTACTATTTTCTTATCTCTTGTTCCTATGTCCCCCATTAGTATAGGTAGTTTCCTCTATGGTGTGACTAAAAGTACCTCTGCCAGGATCATGTCTTCCCTACTCCTTCTGACCCACCCCTGAAATTTTAGAGTTCCTATCTTTAAGGTTGAGAGTGATTTTTAGTCACTAATTTCTATTTTGAAATCTATATACTTCTGGAAGGAATATATACCTCTGAAAGATCAATCACAATTAGCTGGAGATCCTTTTTCCCTGACAGGCAGGAATGAGTAGGCTTGAATGCTTTGGGCTTCTGAGAGACATAGAGTAAATGTATCTTGACTTACTTTAAAATACAGAGACAGCTTACAATATGTACACAATATACATTAAGCAATTGATTTTTCTGTCTTCACTTAATTATTTGAGACATAATTTTGATTGCAAGCAACCACAAATTCTAACATGAAAGCATTTTCTTACACTCATAGACTAAGACAAATTAAAGAAATAAACTGAAAAGATTAGCAATACCTCCTTCAATTTCCTCCCCACTTTCATATTTTACAACAATAATTAAGAAATATCTCAAAACTACAGTCTTTATATTTTTTATACACAGACACATACACACACACACACACTCAGGCTAGGAATACTACAAGTCACATATCCCTATATCTCCACCTCTTTTCTTGTCTAAAAATGTTCCACAACCTGCCTTGATAGCCCAATCTAGAATTATTACCTTAGGCAATGATTACTGTTGGGAAATCCTTCCAAACAATTCCAAATTTTTCTCATATTATAGTTCAATTTTTTTCTTTTAATTTTGTCCATTGTGAAGACGAATAGCTAATCATGATCCTTTAGCACTTTTCCATACTTTGTACTTGAAGACAGAGGTTATTCTTGTGTTTGTTTACCCTTTTATAATGTATACAATCCTTCAGCACAGGTCCTACTAAGGATTTTTATTGCTTCTCCTTCCTCAAACCACACACAACTAGAATCATTATGAAAGCTCATTTTCATATGCTGCTTTTATTTTCAAGATACTTCTTCACCATTTTAAAAATATTTTTAATACTCAGCACTTAATGAACAGCATCCTTTAATATAACTAGAAACAGAAAATGATTAAAGTTTAAATTCATTAGGCACTCAGTAAATGTTTATTGAATTTAGCTGAAATGTCATGAATTTTTCTATTTTTAATCTTCATTGTGATTTATTTTCTATTTTCAATTACATGAGAAATCATTTCCATATTTTAATAGATTTGTTATATTTAAATTTTTCTCCCTTGAATAATTCTTTATTCCATTATTATGTATAATATTTCAAACAAAGGTGTTCTTACTGCAAGTCTCTTGTTTTCATGTGTCTTTTTCTTGCCACAAATAAACATTATTAAATAAATTTTCTCTCCTCTTAATAGTAATTCTTACCACCTACCTGTCTTACAGCAACATCGTGAGGATTGACAGAGCCATCGAAAAAACACTTGAAATTCCTTAGTGTTGTTAGATAAAGGACTGTATAAGGAAAGACAGTAATGTTGTATTTTTGTTTTGTTTTGTTTTTCTAGATATCCTACAACAATTCCTTAAAGACCCTTTCTCCCTTTTGTCCTTGTACTAATATAAGAGTAAACATGAACCCAATAGAATATAGATCCCTTTTAATAAGAGCTCATTCATTTCTATTAGTTACAGAAGATAGGTTCACCACTGTCCATTCAAACAACAACTAAATGGGGCATGACCAGACCAACTGATTTCAAATTAAGATATAGCAGATTAACAATATATCTCAGCAGTTGGCTTTTTCATAGCTAGCCCTTTAACTAATGGAAGGAATGCTGTCTCTTTAAAATCAAGAACTATAAAGTTCTTTTCCTAGGAAATCAGAGATTTTCAGGTAAATTCTTCACTCCTCTCTTTGTTGATTCTCCTCTCATAGTATTAATCAATAGGTTCCAATGGTTATTTCTCTGTCATTTCGTATGTGTGGTATGATAAGACTAAACCTAAAATTAGGAAACCTAGGTCCAAATTTCTTTCCACCACTTATGAATTATGTAACCTTAAGCAAGTGTTTCTAAATCTAAATTGCCGTACAGGGATAGGAGAATATTTTCTCTCGCTAACTCATAAAGATTTTAAGGATGGAATTAGAAAAAATATATGTGGAGGCACTGCATACATTTTCTATTGCTTATATGTATAAGACATTGAGATGCCAGCCTACCTAGCTTTATTAACACTTTAGCCCACAATTCTATCAATTGTTAATAGAATTGTGATTCTATCTAATCAAATCATAATTCTCATGTAAGAAACAAGTGGGAAAAAAAATCATTGGCACATTGAATTAGGTCATCCCATTTACCCATCCCTGATTTTACATGTAGATTTAAAGACACTGAGACTTTACAAAGGCTTAAAACACCTCTGACTATTTTGCATATTCCTTCCAACTCATTTACCAACAGTCCTGTCTCTGCTAACCCTTCCCCTTTGGCCAGCCCTGGTCCTTCCACCTGAATATCTTTCGTTTATCCATGCCTTTTAGAACGCTACTAATTCTTAAAAGTCTAGCTTAAAAGTTACTTTTTCCATTAAATATTCCTCAGTTCCCCAATTAAAATTAATCTTTTAAATTTATTTTTGTTCTTGTACCACCTGTCTTTGTTGTAAACGTACTCCAGACTTCTCCCTAAGGCGATGACTAAGCTGAATCATAGGAAGGAATAGAATTCTGTTATTCATCATTATATCTTAGTGCTAAATAGAGACGTTTAAACATGAAATTTACTAAACAAATCTCTACTACCTTTATTCATCTGTCTCACATAAAATTACAGAATTAGTCTTTCATTAGTTTTCACCACATCTGGTACACAAAAAAATTGTAAGGATATAATTTTACACCACCTATGAATCTAATTTGAATGCATCAGTCCTAAGTTTAAGATTTTACATTTTCATCCATTGACTCCCTCTTTCTTAACTCCTTATACATGACTTACCCTGGTGTTTCTCCTTCTTATCACCCTAGAGGATGTTTTAAATTTCCATATCTATTTTCTCATATCTTTTACATCTTGTGGAATATTCTTTTTTATCAATCATTTCAAGATCTACCATGAAAGTTAGCCCTTCCAAGATGCCTCACCTGATTAACCTTTCCATATAGTCCTTTTATAAACCCTAAGATCTCACACACCAGGACCGTATTTTTAGAAATGAGGGAGACTGTATGACTTTGTACTAAAACTGCATTAGGATATACGGCCTAAAAGCATAACTGCTTTAAGGCAATTTATCAGTACCCTTCAAGGTTTGTTTCTTTAGCATAAAACTAAAAATGGCAAAAAGTAATTTTTGAACAGTATATATACCATTTTTTATCCTTACATTTTTGTGTGCATGAATAGTATTTCTTGAGAGCAGAGCGTTTTGCACTGTGCTAAGGCTTACACTATCAAGACAAAATATACAAGCAATTCCTGCTTCTTTATCATAATATCTTTCTGGAAATTATTTTGTGAACTAGACTGCAATAAAAGGAATCAAAATTGCTCATTGAAAGACTACCACACCAGTAACGAACCATGACAAAGAACCCGGCATCAAATAAGTCATAGATATGACTCACAGTACTTTAAAACACAGTAAGAAGTTTAAGGTTCTGTAACAATTCAAAAAACAACTGTAATGTTAGCAATAAAATATAATTCATGTTCTAAAAAATTATCATCAGTGTTAGCAAAGGCATCACCTGTGGGGGTGGCGCCCTACAAGGGCGGGCCGCCGCGCATGCGCCCCAAGATCACGCAGGAGGCCGTCCCCTCGCGCACGTCGGCGGCCCCCACAGGCCCACTTAGGCGCTGCACGCCCTCTCAGCAATGGTCACCGGCCCACTGCACACGACTTCCCCCTGGAGCTGCAGCTCCCCAGCAGGACTACCCCGACCCTGGGTCCCGAGGAACTGCTGAGCAGCGAGGACTGTCACCCTGCCCTGCCCTGCCGCTTCCCTCCGGGCTTCCATGGGCACCCGGGCCCAACTACCCACCCTTCCTGCCCGACCAGATGCAGCCGCAGGCCCCGCCGCTCTCTCACCAAGAGCTCCTGCCACTGGTCCCTGAGGGCTGGAGGAGCCAACGAGGGGAAGAAGATCGTGGCCCGGAAAAGAACCACCACCCACACCTGTGATTACCCGGGCTGCAGCAAAACCTACACACAGAGGCCTCCTCTTAAGGCACACCTGAGAACCCACACAGGTGTGAAACCCTACCACTGTGACTGGGACGGCTGTGGGTGGGAATTTGCCCGCTCGGATGGACTGACCAGGCGCTACTGCAAACACGCGGGGCACCCACAGACCCTCCAGTGCCAGAAGTGCGACCGAGCATTTTCTAGGTCCAGACCACCTGGCCTTACCCATGCAGAGGCACTTATAAGTTTCAAACAGTGAGTATGACCCACACTGCCAGAAGAGAATGCAGTATTTTTTTTTTACCTTTCACACTGTCTTCCTGATGAGGGGAAGAGCCCAGCTGGAAGCACTACAATCATGGTCAAGTTCCCAATTGAGTCCACTTGTGAATGAATAATCAGGAACAATGATTAATCCAAAAGTCAAAAATCAAAGAACAGATGGGGTATGTGACTGGATCTTCTATCATTCCAATTCTAAATCCAACTTGAATATTCCTAGACTTACAAAACGCCGAGGGGGTGACTGGAAGTTATCGATATCAGGGTATAAATTAGATACCTGAGTTGGGGGAGGGAAGACCAGAATTCCCTTGAATTGTGTTTTGATGAAATATAAGCATAAAGATCACCTTGCATTCTCTTTGCCTTCTAAAAGTCATTATTATGATGTTAGAAGAAATTCAGGTACTGAAAATGTGTTTTAATAGCCTAAATGATGGTGCTTGGTGAGTCTTGGTTCTAAAAGTACCAAACGAGGAAGCCAAAGTTCTCAAACTGCTGCATACTTTGACAAGGAAAATCTATTTCTGTCTTTCGATCTACATTTATGACCTAAGTCAGGTAAATACGCCTGGTTTAACATTTTTATGCAGTCTGTTATGCACTGTGGTTTCAGATGTGCAATAATTTGCACAATGGTTTATTCCCAAGTATGCCTTTAGCAGAACAAATGTTTTTTCTATATACTTCCTTGCCTAAATATGTAATATAAATTTAAGCAAATTTCCATTTTGTATATTTGTAAACTACAAAGTAAAATGAGCATTTTGTGGAGTTTGTATTTTGCATACTCACGGTGAGAATTAAATAATAACTTATATTTTATCTTATATATAAATATATAAAATATAAATAACATATTTTATCTGAAAAAATAATAAAATAAAATATCTAAGTCTTATGCTAATCATCAAGGATTCTGAGTGAACATGGAAAATGTTTTTGAAAAAATTGAATCTAGTATGCTGGATATACTAACATTTAATAATTATCTTTCCAAAAATTGGGGGGTAGCCCCCATCCTAGAATGATGGCTAAGCCTCAGTGCTGGCAACACACCTCCCCCTGCCACAATGCATAAAGAGGCACCTAGACTCTGTTCTGAGACCCACAGTCTGTAGATGCTGAAGCTGAAAAGCAAAAAATGCAAAGCCAAATATTAATCTTTCCAAATAGGAAAGAACATAGACTTTGGAATAATTCTACCTGGGTGCACATTCTACCTTGTTAGCTACCTTGTAGCTGTGCAAATATAAGTAAGCCATTTAAACTCTAAACTTCTGTTTCCACAGCCATAAACTGGGACAATTATATGTAATAACAACTAAATGGTTTTTGAAAATCAAATAATATAATGTGCTTAGCAGGTATCAAATATATAGTAAATATTCAATAAAGTCACCATTATTATATATTTTTGTCATCACAGAGGGTACACTCACCCATTTAAACATTGCAGATTACCTAATATATGCATCCCATCCCTACACACCTAGGAGAAAATTAAGTGTTCTCCTCAATGCTAGGTATATATGATATGATAGACCTAGACCTCAACAGACAAAGGGCCTTCTGAGATAACTAATAGCAGAAGGAATGCTGACTCTCATAAATTTTGACAGACATCTGTCATATGAATTGACATAAAACCTCCTTTAGTTACTGAGGAGTGATTTAACTTGTGGTATCACTGACCAGTCACTATGCTTAAAGTTAGATATTCTGAGTGAGATTTATTTGTGGCATAATGATCAATTAATTATTTCTGTATGAGAAATTTTCCAAACTACAATAGTCTCAAGGATGCTCTAAGGATTGAAACTCTGAGGGTTCTGTATTTAATTTGTCAAGTGTTGGAGCCAGGGAAAACTGAGTCTAGTTTTGGACATGTTTTATTTTGCCTATGACTGGGCCTATCTCTTCAACACAGAATCTTAAACTCCTTACTTTTAATAAAAGTATGAAAACCTTATCCTGCACTCAGTAGATATTTAAGACTTATGAATATTCCCTCCATCACTAACATATAATAACTGCACTCAAGGATTTTGCCAGAACTGATCAGGACTATCTCTCTGCTGTGTCCTCAGAAGCCCTAGTAAAGCCCTACCTGCAGGAGGTATAGTTCTCCTACTCCCTTGCTCCTCTGTGTATTGCCCAAGAATCAGTTCACACTCTATTGTCTGAGGCTTCCACAGAATCACTTTTATTAAATTGTTTAGCTTAATGATTTATACTACATTGAAAAATGCTATGAGAAACTGCTGTAAAAAAAGTCTTGTTGTCAATTATTTCACTTTGTGTCTCCCTTGTAACAACCATGGGAGAAACTTGCCTTCAACTTCAAGGCTAGGGCCTCCCATCAAGCTGGTATGTTTTATCATATGGACAATATGAATCTTGCAACCTGTCCTAGTTTTCTCTTTGTTTAGCTCATTAGGAAATTCAGAACTGATTTGGTGACCCACCTTTAGACACAGTGAAAATGTGTTTAGTTAGTTTTCTTGTAGTCCCATTTTATTATTCTTTTTTATTTTCCTTTCACCTTGTCTTTTATATTTTTTTTCAGTCATCATGGGTTTTGTACTATAATTTTACTTGTCTCCTTAGAACTTAGGAGAAGTATTTTGGGGAATGTGATAGGTGTTTCTTCAAATAAAAAAGCTATTCAGGGAAATATCATGAATTTACTTGTAGTAAAGAAAGGAATTTTTGTCATTTAATTCATTTCTATTTCCCAGATTCTCACATGTATTTGCCAATGAACCTCTTCTAGCAGTCCAGAACCATCAATTTCAATTCCTAAACCAAGATAGTTATCTTCTTACCAAGATTAATATATTACTTATCTACCTGGAATTATATCAAAACAAGCCCTATGTTCCCTTATGGTACCTATATCCTCTAAACTTTTTTTCACCATCATTATCACCACCAAACCCTTGCTATTTCTGTCACAAACTACTGGGGTTCTACCTTGAATGAACAGATCACTGAAATAAACAATGTAATTACCCACCTGATTTCAACCACTTGAACATTCTCTGTTGCTGGGGCAGTACCAGCCTGATTCCAATTAGTCATCATGATGTAGATGACTCATTAGACATCTAGTCTTGCCCCATACATCGTACACTATGTATCTATGCCTTGTGAGAAACAATTTGTAAAGATCAATTTCCTCAGTGCCTTTCTTACCTGGTTCCTGCTTTATCTTTCTACACTGGAATGAAGTCCTGAAATCTCTGACACTCAAGCCCCACTGCCACCACCAAAACTCAAAAACATGAAATTGAGTTCCATTCATAGATGGTAACTGATAATAAAAAATAGCCTACAGTTCATGCCAACACTAGGTAGAGATTGGATTCCTGAACTTGATACAAAGATGCATCTTTATTAGAAAATTGGAAATGGGCTTGGCACGGTGGCTCATGCCTGTATTCTTAGCTCTCTGGGAGGCCAAGGAGGGAGGATCGCTCAAGGTCAGGAGTTCAAAACCAACCTGAGCAAGAGTGAGACCCCATCTCTACTAAAAATAGAAAGAAATTAATTGGCCAACTAAAAAAAATATATATATATATGTATATATATATATATATATAATATAATAGCTGGGCATGGTGGCGCATGCCTGTAGTCCCAGCTACTTTGGAGGCTGAGGCAGAAGGATTGCTTGAGCCCAGGGGTTTGGGGTTGCTGTGAGCTAGGCTGATGCCACGGCACTCTAGTCTGGGCAACAAAGTGAGACTCTGTCTCAAAAATAAAAAAATAAAAATAAAAAATTGGAAATGAAATGTAAAAAGTGATGAAGCAGAAATGGATTACTCCTATTTATATATATCTATGAAATATATATATATACACATGTGGTATACATACATATGGTTATAATCTAAAAGGCACATCCTAATGCCAATAGTAAGGAAAAAGAACAATAAATTTATGATATTTCTCTTAATGTGTTTCCAAAGCTAACTATAATATAAGCTATAAAGTAACTTTGGCCAGGACTATTACATGTAAAACTTTTAAGACTGTACAACAAAGAACCATATTCAAACAACATACTTAAATAATAAAAAATGTCTAATAAAAATAGAAGCACTTCTTAAAGATATTAGTAATCCATGAAAATTATCCAGCTTTAGCCATAAAACATACTTATACATACTTATACAATGCTAACTGTGGAATTTAACCCATCAGGTCTCAGTTATTTACAGCAAGACACACCAGAAAGGACCAGAAACCAGAACTATTAATAGTTCTCCTCCTAAGATGATTCTTAAAGTGTGGTCTGTAGACCTACTCTGAAGTTACCTATGAAGTCTGTTTACAGTGCAAATTCACAGTACCCACTTAGACTTCTAGAAGTATAATTTCTGGGGTTAAGACATTGGAAGCTGATTTCTTTACAAGTTTCCTTGATTGTTCAGTGCACTAAAGTTTGAGAATCACAGCACAGGGAGAAGACAGAATAAATAAAAAAAAATAAAAGATAGCCTGACTTCTAGTGGGGAGGTTACTTATAACTGGCAATGCATAGTATTCAAGGAATGCAACAAGTTACTGCAGTCCAGGTAGGCATTTGGCAAGATAAAGTTGGGTATCCTCCACAATTGCATCAAGCAACTGAGTTTAAAGTTTAACTGTATGCTAGCTATGTGAATTACAAGGTTATTTTTAACTCAGTGGCTTAGTTTCTGGTTTGATGCTTCTACTTGGACTCTGAATCCTATATACATCTTCCATCTTCCATCTAACTTGGAGTATTTTGTTGTTGTTGAGATAGGGTGTCCCTCTGTCACCCAAGCTGGAGTACAATGGCACAATCGTAGTTCATTGTAACCTTGAACTCCTGGGCTCAAGTGATCTTTCTGCCTCAGCTTCTGGAGTAGCTCAGACTATAGGCATGTGCCACCACACCTGATTAATTTTTTTATTTTTTATTTTTTGTAGAGATTGGATCTCACTATATTGCTCAGGCTGGTCTTGAACTCCTGGCCCCAAATGATCCTCCCACCTTAACCTTCCAAAATGCTGGGATTACAAATGTGAGCCACCATGCCCAGCCCTGGAGTTTTATATTATCTATTATTCCCTCTATCTCGTCATTGTTTCAAATGGCTCCTTCCCCTTATGCTATGTTCAATCCTAAAAATTTCTCCCGTGATTCTGCATCCATCCATACCTCCTTGCCCACAGCTTTCCTTACCTTCTATCAAATTTTCTAATAATAATTCATAAAACCTTATGCAATTTTGCTTATATCTCTTCCCCCAACACACACTATGACACTTAAACTTTACTGGCAATGGCCACCACTGACTTCCACATTGCCAAATCCAATGGACTAGAAATTCTAGCATTTGACACTGTTTACTAGTCTTTCCTTCTCAAACATTGTCCTCCCTTGACTTCCATAACATTATTCTAAATAGAAGAGATATTTCATTCCTTTTTCAAAAACATAAAAAATAGATAGATAGATAGATAGATAGATAGATAGATAGATAGATAGATAGATAGAT